ATGTTGAAATCTTAGTGGGGTGTTTTTTTAAACAGATACATGTTGAAATCTTAAAGGGGTGTTTTTTTAAACAGATACATGTTGAAATCTTAAAGGGGTGTTTTTTTAAACAGATACATGTTGAAATCTTAAAGGGGTGTTTTTTTAAACAGATACATGTTGAAATCTTAGTGAGGTGTTTTTAAACAGATTCATGTTGAAATCTTAATGTGGTGTTTTTAAACAGATTCATGTTAAAATCTTAGTGGAGTGTTTTTTAAACAGATACATGTTGAAATCTTAAAGGGGTGTTTTTTAAACAGATTACTCTTTTGTTATCACTATCAGTAGTGGTTAATATTCAAATTTGTTTGCAAATAAGATGGCATTTTCCAAAGTTAAGCAACAATTTTGATCACTAAATTAACAATCGATCTCAAAACTAAAGATTAATGTTTTTTGTAATTTAAAAAAGAATTGTTCACTTAATTTGTGAATTGTAAAAAAAAATAGTGTAATTATTAAATAGTTTGTTTAAAATTATTATTTTTTACATCCTACTTTGTCTTTCTACACATCTGGACATTTGTAATATACGTGATTGAATTTTGTATCAGAGAGAGAGAGAGAGAGGGATATAAGATATGTTAATTTTAACAACCCCTGTAGAGTCAGTCAGAACAACAACGAGAAAAAATCGAGGAATTGGAAAGACTTTTGGAAGAAGAACATCAACGCTCAAGATCTTCAGATTCCAGCAATAATCAGGTATTGTTATTTATTTTTAGTTTTGTAGTCTGTTACAAGAAGCTAAGATGTTTTAAGGATTTGACTTTTTTTAAGACATTCTATTTTAGAGCTGAACAGTTAGTAGTATTTGCTAATCAAATACATTAAGTTAGTCAGTTAGAATGCAAACCATAGTATGCATCATCCTATAGAAGCAAGGAACAAAAAGTTGGGAAAGAGTTGCCACTCTTTGGTTTCCTTTTAGTCAGCAGTTCAAAGTTAGTGACAGCAAAAATCAAATCCAAGACCCTCAAATCACGATACCTGTAGTGGGAGGAGCATAGATAGCCCATTATGAAGCTTTGCGCTTAATAACAAACATAATGGCAATATTTTGATTACTTGGATAGTTGGAATAATACAAAAATAGTGGTAATTGGAAACTCAATTATTTGATTGTTTTTACAACAATTTAATCATAATTTTGATTAATCTATTGTTAAAATGATTGAAAACTAATAATTGGAAACATTAATTTCGATTGGTTATTTATTTTTTTTGTGTGACAGTCAGTTTAATCATACTTTTTATTTATCAATCGATTTAATCACACTTTTGATTCATGCATTATTTTTTGTGAGACCAATTGATATAATTGCTACTCATTAACCCCTTCCCCCCTCAGCTCTATTACATTTAATAATAATAATAATAAAAAAACAAGAGCAGAAAACTGAAATGTATGTCTCATTCTCAGCATAACATTAATTCAAACTGACATCTGACAGGAGCAGTAGGTAACTAACAGTATATCTAAACATATATGGATGCTTTAACTAGTTTATTTTGTACACCCAGGAATGAAATCAGAATAGAAACTACAAAGACCTGTTGTTCCCAAAACATAACACACGTATTTATTTTCTGCAGTTTTATTTGTCCTACAGTTCATATTGCAGTAGGGCCCTACATGGCCAGGTGGTTAGGGCACTCGACTCGCAATCTGAGGGTCGCTGGTACGAATCCCCCGTCACACCAAACATGCTCGCCCTTTCAGCCGTGGGGTCATTATAATGTGACGGTCAATCCCACTATTCGTTGGTAAAAGAGTAGCCCAAGAGTTGGCGGTGGGAGGTGATGACTAGCTGCATTCCCTCTAGTCTTACACTGCTAAATTAGGGACGGCTAGCGCAGATAGCCCTCGTGTAGCTTTTCGCAAAATTCAAAACAAACAAACATTCACATTTTATGCCTCCACGCACCAACCTTCTGGACTGTACAGTATACACAGACTGTACAGTATACAGTTATTTCGATCAATGCTTTATTCAAAAATATTTTCCGCTAAGTGACGTCAGCTTCTAATATCTTTTAGTTTGTTTTAGAATGTATTTGTATAGCTAGCTAAACAAAGGGCTACCTGCGTATAGCCGTTCTTAATTTAGAAATCCTAGACTAGGAGGTAGGCAACCACCGCCAAACATCTACCACTCACTAGTAATGGTGTTTTGTTTTCCAGATGACTTGGCAGTTGTCTCCATTTATTTTCTGCAGTTATGTGCATTAATTACTTTTGATTTATGTTGATAATACATGAATGTTCTTGTGTGTGTGTTTGTGGTTGATTTCTTTTTGTTTCTGTTGGACAAGAATTTCTCAGTTTTAAAGAAAACAAAAATCCATATTTATATATAAAAAAAGCAATTACAATGTCCATAAAGGTAACAGCTATAACAGAACTTGCACAAAAGTAAAATATTTCAAATACTTCATGAGTGATTTTGTTTTAATTGATTTGTTCTGCTTGAAGATTAAAGGTTGTAAAAGCCCAGGTTTATTAAGAGGGTGAAGTAGCTTATGTAATTTGATTTTTACTCCCAGGAAAACTCTGGAATTGAAATAGTGAGTTGGCACAAAGAAGAAATTGAAAAACTCAAGCAGACTTTATCAAAAGCCGAAGAAAAAGTCAAGTCATTAGAAGCATTAAGGGTACTTACTTTAACTGTATTTAGAGATTAAGAAATAAAAAGGAGATATTACTAGTTTTGGAAAGAATTTTCATCAAGTCACTTTCCAAAGAATTAAATTTAATGGATGATGAAGGAGAATTTAAGTAAGTGAGAAAGAAATGAAATAAACTGGTTAATTTCAGATTTTTAAATTGTTTAATAAGAATCAAAGTAAAACATTATTTTAGGCTATGCAATGCATATCCTTTGTATAAATCACTGATCTGAAACATAATTTGAAAAAAGATTCAAAAAGAATCTGAAAGGTTAGGTGTTCGAAGTAGTTTGTCATGTAATTAATATTTTAGTGTATTAAAATAGTTTGTAATGTGTATATGCTATGCTTATGTTATTTTACAATAGTTTCATAAAGAAAGAAAGGTTAAATAAGTCGCACAGACTTTTTTTCTTTCATGGAACGTGGGATGTTGAATGTTTTAAGTTACAAGATAATTTGTTTAATTGAAGTGAGATAACAAGAATAGTCCAGAACCTACAGTAATACAATTTCTTTTCATATCATAATCATGTTGAAAAAATTGCAACGCATGATGCATTAATGTATCCTTTTTTTTTTCAGTTTTTTTTACAAATATTTTTGTCAGAACTTACATTGAACTTACCAATGTTCAATGTTGATATCTAATAAAAAAAACTCCTTATTATATCTTGGATAAATCTCATCATTTTTTATGTAATATGCCACACACATGGATTTACAGTGAGTATAAAATGTTTACCCATTACATATCAGGACTGAAAAGTGATAAGTGAATTTCACCATGTAAATATAAAACAAAAATAAAGTTAACTAACAGTTTTCAAACACTAAGCTTCTCTTCAGGTACAAATTAACCACTCTTCCTCACCTCTTTATGGACGGCTTGCTCTTGTAACACTGTTGTTGTTGGACTGGTCCTTTTGGATTATTTAGAGAAGAAGAAGAAGAACACAAAGTTCAGTCAACTTGTACAAGTTAGCATAACTAATGTTTGCTGATAGGCCTCAGTTCACAGTAGATGCTAATACAACACATTCACTTACTTGCTAACTTCCCTCCTACATACAGCATTTTCTTGTATCACTAGTACTTCGTTTAAACGCAAACTCAATGTTACAAAATTGAGCTAACTGGCTGACAGCAACAGACTGACTCATGAATCACTACCTGACTAATCACTCAACATCTACTTTTGCCTAATTCACATTTTATACTACTCAAACCATTTCCAAAACTGCCAAAAAGGTTCCAGTCATTAAAACATGCCATCACATGATGTGAAAGCTCCCTCTAAACAAACAACAGTACAAACATCTGAATTAAAAACCAAACAGCCTAAAACACTGCTTTGTAGAAGGAACTTTAGCTGTATACCCTGTAATCTTCACTTTTCTTTCACACTATAACATTTAAAAAAATATATGAAATTCCAACTTAAAAATAATGAAATTAATAGATCTGTTGAGAAGTTTCTTGTATGAGGAGAGGTAAGAAAATCTTTGACAAATAATGTACAATTTCATTTACTGATTTATTATTATTATTAATAGGCCTCTCCAAGTAGTTTAGTTGATACAGTGTCTTTTGTTTATGTGGCAAGGCATCTGAAAGTGCTACTTCAAATGAACTTAAGGCGGACGTAGTTCACAAAGATGAGAAAATTCTACAGCTAGAAGCTTCTCTTGAAAGCCGAAAGAGGGAGGTGTGTGACTTGCAGAAGCGGCTGACGGAATTAGTAAGTTTTCGGTTTATTATGTATGCTTTGGAAATTCCATCAACTAACATAAAATAATTTCAATTGTAATAAAAATTTCAAACCCATAGAATCATTTCAATAATTTTGTGTGTGTGTATGTACATACATAGATTTCTGTGTGCGTGAGAGAAAGAGAGATACTGCACAACTACGTTTTGGGATATAGAACATGAAAATTTATTACATAACGTGATTTTTCACTTTAATTTGACACAAAACTTGTAGTCTTCATAATTGTCGTGAAAATTTGAACATTTCAATAATTGTGTGTATTTATATATAGATTTTTGTGTGTGTGACTTCATAATGGTATTTGGAGCTATGGCTTAATGTAGAAATTTGTCACTGGAGGTGACTTTCAGCTTAAGTCAGCAGAACCTGTAACAAAAGCTTTTAGCAAATTTTTTTTTGTTTTGTATTTTTTTGTAAAAATGCCGGTTTAAAGTAAAAAAAAAATTGTTTAATTATTACAATTGACATTTCTTTAAATTTATAAACCTAATTGACTGTTTTGTGCATACTGATAGTCATTCCCCTTTTATTTTTGATTTATTATAACACAGAAAATGTTAATTTTTAAGGCACTTTAAAACCAATACATGTAAATGTACAGTTACTAATTGTAGAAGAATTTTGACGCACCAAGTATTTTTTACAGATAAAGATGCAGTTGTTTCTCATCCAGCATAATTACCGCTTACGGGTCAAAGTTCAGAACCGTAAACTTATTAGGAAAATGCTTACAAGCAATAAGTAATATCAATTTGTGTATTTTAAGTTAGTTAATACATGGATTTCTGTATATCTATTTAAAAAAAATTAATTTTGTTGATCACTATTAACTTGTCGGCTAGCTTTGTTGTATTATGCTGTAACTGGCATGTAAGAGTTTGGTTGATATTTTACAGTGTAAGTATGACACACCAAAAAATTTTTAACATTATCACAAGACAATTGTAAGAATAGAGTGAAGTTATTTGATGTCTCCAGATATTAAGATGAGTATAATATCGATATTCTTCAAGGGGGAGGATCTCGAGCAGAGTAAGGTGAGACAGGAGAAACATCTTCAAATAATCGATGGTAGGTTAAGTCAGATTTTTTTTTCTAAACAGCAAAATATGTTGCTTTTGGTTATTTTAGGCTTATACATATGACAAAATCAATTTGTTTTTTATCCGTGAAGCAACTATAAGAGTCTGACTTTATAATCCTCTGTAACCTTGGTAGAACTGTAAATGTCTAGCTTTACATGTGTAACTCTAGAACAATCAAGTGTCTGGTTTTACATGTTTAACTCTAGAACTATCAAGTGTCTGGTTTTACATGTTTAATTCTAAAACTATTAAGTGTCTGGTTTTACATTCTGTAACTCTGGTTATACTATTAAGTGTTTAGCTTTACATGTGTAACTCTGGTAGAACTGTAATTGTATAACTTTACATGTTTAACTCTAGAACTATTAAGTGTCTAGCTTTACATGTGTAACTCTGGTGGAACTGTAATTGTATAACTTTACATGTTTAACTCTAGAACTATTAAGTGTCTAGCTTTACATGTGTAACTCTGGTGGAACTGTAATTGTATAACTTTACATGTTTAACTCTAGAACTATTAAGTGTCTAGCTTTACATGTGTAACTCTGGTGGAACTGTAATTGTATAACTTTACATGTTTAACTCTAGAACTATTAAGTGTCTAGCTTTACATGTGTAACTCTGGTAGAATTGTAAGTGTGGTTTTATGAACCTGTATGACTGTTAGAACTATAACTCTGACTTTAAGATTGTGTATAATTGCTGAGTTTTTAGAATATACAGTTTTAAGATCATTTGTATTTCCTCAAGAAGTTACATGGATTCTGATGATTATCCATCACAAATATCTTACACGATGCGGTATGTTTTTGTCAAAAATAGAACTCATTATGGTGAAATAAACACTTTCTGGATAATGTACATAGTGAGTTTTGTATCGTTGAAATTGATTAACAAAAAAATTCTCTGAAAGTAGCAAAGAATTATAGATTGACTATCACCTCTTCACTAAAACTTAACACCTTTGCTGGCAATGTAAACGAAACACAGCTTCTTCATATGAATACTGTTGTTAAAAATTGCTTAAAGTGAAATTTATAAAAGTATCAACTTGGTATCTTTTTTTTTTACAAAAATAGTCATTATATATGACACACTCATTGAAATTTTGGCGACAGTATTTTCATTTCCTTGTGAAAAAGTACAAGCATATTTATTAAAAATTCCTGATCTGAAGCAAGTGAACAGTGTAGATTTGAACTAAAATAATGTAGAAATTATAAATTAATGAAAGAAGTTGGGGCAAATCAAATCACTAGAAGTTTGAAAAGTTGCGAATAAATACACCAAACAAACGACTAAAGTCTCGGGTCAAATAAAATCATTAGAAGATTAGAACGTTATGAATCAGTACACCAAACAAACGACTAAAGTCTCGGGTCAAATAAAATCATTAGAAGATTAGAACGTTATGAATCAGTACACCAAACAAACGACTAAAGTCTCGGGTCAAATAAAATCATTAGAAGATTAAAACGTTATGAATCAGTACACCAAACAAACAACTAAAGTCTCGATTAAAATAATTTCATTATAAGTTTGGAATTTAATGAATCAATACAACTAAAGCCAATGATGATTACACTATAGTAAATCATGCAGGGTCAACAGAAAAAAAAGTTGCATCAGGAAAAGCAACCCAATAGCCCATGTGCTTTTGGAAAGTAAACTGTCACTCATCAGGGGATAACTGGAATTTTGACATTCAACCCTGATGAGGAAAAGTCCACTTTTCGAAAGCTCCAGGACTATTGCTTTTCTTTTCTAATGCTAACAATATTGATATAATAGCCTTCTACAAATATTAAATAAATATACAGTTTTTTTATGTGCATTGTTAACATAATTCTTTCTCTAGTTAAGAAGAGATGAAATTATAGTTTATTATTTTTATTTTAGTACGTTATTGTTTCTTTTTTTTTATCACAGCTTTTCAACTTTAGTTTTGCCTTTTATTATATTTTGCTTATACATTTACACACACATATATACATATTACTTTTTGTTTCTCCTGTTTTTGTATATTTTTTGTTTTGTGTTATTCTGCTACAACCATGCTTGTATAGACCTGAATGTGAAAGTGGCTCACGCTGAGGCTTCGTCTGGTCGTCTTGATGAAGAGCTTCACACAGTGAAAACTTGTTTAGCAGGTGTGTTCTTGTTTATTTTTTCTCTTCCTTTGTTTCTTGGTTTGACACACACACACACATAAAATAATTACTATTAATAGTAATTTTTTTTGTGTATGAAAGATATTTTTAGGAGTCACTTTTCCTAGCTATTGGAACAGAAATGAGGCCAATAGTAGTTTACTAAGTTGATTAAGTATATTATGATATTTTACAAACTGGTTTACTCTTCCTTATATTTTTATTTTCTGTACAAATTGTGGACATTTTCCTTCAATGTGTTAGTTTTATTGAACTTTGATAAGTTATTTATTCTATAAAATTTTTTATTGATGATGAAAATTTAAAGACATCTTAACAAAAGAAAGAAATCATGTTACATGTTAAAATAGTATGTTTTGGATGTTTATAAGTTAAACATGTTTAAAGTAGTAAGAGTTGAAACCAGTGGAGCAATAAAACTGAATATAAATTTAAAATCGCATCAGCTAGAAAAATAAACGTCACCCCAGTGTATCAACTACTATGTCTAAAATCTGTGAATCTGCCAATCGATGCTGTGATCTATTAAAGAAATATGTTTAGTTAAAGCTGACTCTAAGAATTTCCAATTTTTTGTGAAACACCCATGTTCCCACATTCTAACCCTTAATTTCCTAGTTTCGTCTATTCATTTAACATTAAGATCTTTACAACCAACTTGATAATAGTACTTAATTTTTTTTTAAAACATCTCTTATCCATAAGGAGCACCATAAGAAAAATGCTTAAGAGAAACATCAATAGTCACAAAAATAAAAAATTTCTAGATAACTTTACAGACAGACATGTTTGTGGAAGGTTTTTGAATAATCATTTTGTTTTAGAATATCTTGAAAGAATCTTCGTTCTCTATCTTTTTTTTCTGAAAGTTCTGTGCAAATAGTACTAGCTCTATGATTCAATGTAGAAACAATAGGTCGTACGATTTAGGGTGATGTGAAGAAAAATCTAAATACTTATTGGCCTGCATTAATTTACAAAAAAAAAACAAACAGTAGTAACAGATTTATTTTACAATTTAGGGTGATCTGAAGAAAAATCTAAATACTTATTGGCCTGCACTGATTTACGAAAAAAAACAAAACAGTAGTAACAGATTTATTTTACAATTTAGGGTGATCTGAAGAAAAATCTAAATACTTATTGGCCTGCACTGAAAAAAAAACAAAAAACAGTAGTAACACGTTTATTTTACAATTTAGGGTAATGTGAAGAAAACTCTAAATATCGTATTTTTCGGAATATAAG